TCTTAGGGAGCCTTTGTAGTGTATAGGACCTTAAGTGGAATCCTGAGCCCCATCCAGAACCTTCTGAGGTGGGACATTACCACTTGAAAGGACATGCAGACCAGCCTGCAGCAGCTAGAGAAACAGAAGATACTTCTTGAAAGAAAGACCAACAGGGGAAAAAAAAAAAAAAAAATGTCAGTCTGAATGGCTTCTACAAGGATAAGCAAGTTGTTCGCTGGAGAGCCATCAAGACAAACAATCAAGTCCCTCAAAACAGTCCCCCCTCCAAGCCTGAAACTCAAAGGGATCACACGAGCAGCCATATAAGCTTGCTGGTGACATAGCCACAGAGGGCTAGAGCTGATAGTGGAGCATCCAGCTGATAAGAAGTGAGAGGAGATGCCTCAAAACACCCAAACTTGCAGATAGTACCCATTTGACCTTGCTTGAAGATTACCAGTTGACTAAATGCAGATTTAAAAACTTAATAAAGGAAACAAGTGTAAATTGCCACAATTTGAGGAACTTGACCTATACTTACAGATGTAGTAGCTCAAAATACCAACTGAGAGGAAAGGAGTCTTTATTCTACCCCCTCTGTGTGCAGGGTTGATAGGGACAGGCAACTTAGACATTGGCTACGTAAAATGGGGGGTACAAAGGCACGAAATGACTGACCTACAAGTTTTCAAGAGGGAGTTTAGTTTAAGAATGTGCCAGGGAAGTTAGAATCCTCACTGAATAGTTTTCATCTTGTCTAGATGGGGATACGGTTCTTATAATTCAATAGTGAGTAAATATTATCATGACTAATTACAACTGTCACAACTGTAAAGGTAGAAGTTTTGTAACATAAAGGGGGTTAGTTAATCTTACATTTCAGGAACAGAGAACTCTAGGACCATCAGGGGAGAAGAACATGAGTGGAATGTGGGACCCTATCCAGAGAAGCAGCGACACCAGAGTTGGAGACAGAGATGGGACATGGAGAGAAAGAGCAACTGAAGACTCTTGGAAAGAGAAAGGCTGTGTGCTGGCAGGGTTGCAGAATGTGCCTTTGGTTTATGAAATATATGATTATATATTTCTGAGTGTTTTGGTGTACAATCCCCACTCTCCCTCCCCCCCCCCCCAAATATAAAAGAAAAAAACGCAAGGGAATAGAAGTAAATACTGTTGAATGATGATGCACGGAGGAGGTTGTAATCATTGCAATGAAACAATAAGTGTAAAACCAGCTTTCTCCCATGTAAACTATCACCCAATTCACAATAAAAACATAAAAACAAACCAAACAACCGCCATCTAGACAGACCATATATATAGGGAGATTTATTGCTTGTTTCAGGTTTAAAGTGTGACTAGTATTGAATTGAACAGTATAGTATTGAATTAGGAGTCCTGGTGTGGCGTTGTAGGTTAATGCGCCAGACTGCAAAACCATTTAAACTGCAAGATCGATGGTTCAAGCTCACCAGCTGCTCCTCAGAAACCTATACAGGGTCACTATGGGTTGGAACTGACTCAATGGCACTTAACAACAACAGTATTGAATTAGGAGTCTTAGTAAGTAGAGAATACCATAAAAAATGTTTATCTATGCTTTATTTACTATGCGAAGGCTTTCGATTGTGTGGATCATGACAAGCTATGGACAACATTGAGAAGTATGAGTATTCCAGAACACTTAATTGTACATCTGAGAAATCTGTACATAGACCAAGAAGCAGTTGTTCGAACAGAGCATGGGAACACTGAATATTTTAAAATTGGGAAAGGTGTGCGACAAGGTTGTGTTATTTCACCATACTTATTCAACCTGTATGCTGAGCAAATGATACAAGAAGCTGGGTTCTATGAAGAAAAACTTGGTGTCAGGATTGGAGGAAGACTCATTAACAACCTGCGATATGCCTATGATACAACCTTGTTTGCTGAAAGTGAAGAGGACTTGAAACATTTACTTGTGAAGATCAAAGAGCACAGCCTTCGGTATGGATTGCATCTCAATGTCAAGAAAACAAAAATCCTCACCACTGGACCAATAAACAACATTCTTATCAACGGAGAAAAGATTGAAGTTGTCAAGGACTTCATTCTTCTTGGATCAACTATCAACACTCGCAGAAGCAGCAGACAAGAGATGAGACAACGTATTCCATTGGGCAAATCTGCTGCACAGGAACTTTTTAAAGTATTGAAGAGCAGAGAAGTCAGCTTGAGGACTAAGGTGCACCTGACCCAAGTCATGGTATTTTCAATAGCCTCATATGGATACGAAAGCTGGACAATGAATAAGGAAGGTCACAGAAGAAGTGATGCCTTTGATTTGTGGTGTTGGAGGAGAATACTGAAAGTGCCATGGACTGCCAAAAGAACTAATAGATCTGTTTTGGAAGAAGTGCATCCAGAGTGCTCCTTGGAGGCCAAGATGGCTAAGCTTCATCTCTCATACTTTGGACATATTGTCCGGAGAGAACAATCGTTGGAGAAGGATGTCATGCTGGGTAAGGTGGAGGGTCAGAGAAAAAGGGGAAGACCCCTAACAAGATGGATTGGCCAGGTGGCATCATTGATGGACTCAAGAGTGGCAGCGGTAGTGAGGTTGGCCCAGGATCGGACATTGTTTCATTCTGCTGTGCATGGGGTCGCTATGAGTCGGTTCTGACTCTGTGGTACCTGACAACAACAACAAAGTGTGGTACTGTGGGTTAATATGCTGGATTGCAAAGTTGACAGTTCTAGTTCACCAGCCACTCCTTGGAAATCCTATACAGGGTCTCTATGGATCAGAACTGACTCCACAGTACTTAACAACCAAACACTAAATTAAACTCTCCCTGAGCAGAAGGCTTTCTCCATCACTCTCTCAATTCTTACCCATGATTTTGCAGTGAGGAGGTGAGTTTTCATGGAAAAGTCGTTGTTTATCAGCACGAAGGTGTTTTCTTTATCATCTGTGCTGTATGCTCATATGCTGGTCTCCATGTTGCCCAGAGTCCAGGAAGCGCAGCTTCTCCTGGGGACTTTCTGGAAGAACATGCTGATCCCTCATTGGTCTTTTTTAGCTCCTCCTGTATCACCATCTCTTTAGCACAAGAGAGGGGCCACAGTGAATCTAGTAGGTCTACAGTGGGAGAGCAGGAAGCCCTGATGAAATGGGTCAGAAAAGTAAGGAAATTCTGCTAACTTCAACTTTTGACATGTTTCTTATAAAAGACTTCATAGAATATAGAATTTAAACTTGATTATCCATTTTCATTTACTCAGGGACATGTTTTCGTCTCAGCCACAACACTGTTTCTTGTCTCTAAATTCACAGGCAAACTCTTCTTTCCTTTGTTATCTTCTGGAATAGCATCCCTTCTCCTGGTTCCCTGCACTCCTTGTCTACTAGGCAGCACCAGTGCCTTCTCTGGAAAGTGTCCTGAGTCTTCCAGGCAAAATGAGGGTCCTTCTCTCTTCTAACTCCTCTTATACAGGGATTTCCCTAGTCCTGGCATATTCATGATATAAACACAGTTTATTAATTAGGGAATGTGACTGTCTTCTGTAGATAAATATTGGTAATAATGGGAAGTATGTATTTTTTAATTATGAGTTCATAATTGAGATAGGCTTTGTTTTCAATGTCATTGGTTAGTGGTGGTGCTAGGAAAAGAAAGTCCTTTATCCTGGATCAAGAACACAATATATCCAGTACTTATTAGGTTATAGATGTCTATTTTAAACATTAAACAGGATGGCCAGACTTCGTCTCTTATACTTCAGACATATTGTCAGAGGGGACCAGTCCCTGCAGAAGGATACCATGTTTGGTAAAGTGGAGGGTCAAAGAAAAAGAGGAAGACCCCCAACGAGATGGATTGGCACAGAGGCAGCGGCGATGGGCTCAAATGTGAGGTTGGTGCAGGATGAGGCAGTGTTTCATTCTGTTGTGCATGGGGTTGCTCTGAGTTGGCTCCCACTCAGTGGCACCTAACAACAACAAATTTGAAACATTAAAAAAAAGACAACTGTCGTAATGATGAGAAAAATAATTTGATTAATATAAATTAAACTCTGTCTCTCTTAGCTCCATTTCTTTCCATTTAGCTGTATGGCTCTATAGGATAAGCATTGGACTGGGAACTGCAAGGTTGACAGTTCAAACCTAAAAGTCACTCTTGGAAATCCTGCACAGGGTCACTATGAGTCAGAACCAACACACAGCACAAAACAATAACAATACTATTCCATTATACAGTTCAGTCTTACAGTTCTTCAAACAACTCTTTACAATCAATTTATAATGATCAAACAACTCATACTCAAGTTTTTAATAACATCTGTTTCCTTGAAACACAATCTTACTATAGTAAAGCAACTGACTCATACAAACCCTCCATAGGGTTTCTGAGGATCAGTTAGTGTTTGAATCACCAACCTTGGAATTCAAATTGACCTTGTGGTCCAGTGCATTAACCTACAGCACCACAGCAGAACTCCAGCTAAGACTGTACTTCCAGATTAATATGATTGTATAATAGAACTGTGAATCAGGTTGGCCATTATATAGAGTTGGACATAATATTGTTACTTGGATTGTAAATGTGGTACTCACTAGATAATGGTTTTCAGGTCTCCTGAAGGTTAGTGTTGTCTTGTCATTGCAGGATCTTTGCTCACAGTAATCAGTTTTGCAAGTGACTTCTGGCATGGTGCTGTAGGGTCAGCACTGGACTGACCACAAGTCAGCAGTTCAACCCCACCAGCTGCTCCTCAGAAACCCTATACAGAGTTGCTATGAGTCGGAACCAACTCGATGCCACTTAGCAACAGCAACAACATATATGGTGTTACATCCTAATATGACCCAATTTTCCCATGAGCTGCATCAACATACACGATGGAAGCTGTAATATTGCAGGTTTGAAGAGAACAAGAAAACAAATAGAAAACGAGGTGCCACCTGCCTCAGTCGTTCCTAACCGCCGCTCAAGAAAGTAACAGTAATAATAGTTTTCATTTTATTTCAGGGATCCTCATCATGATGTCCATGTGCAGAGAGGTGCATGTGTATGAGTATATCCCATCCCTCCGCCAGACGGAACTTTGTCACTATCACGAGCTGTACTATGATGCAGCCTGCACACTCGGGGCTTACCACCCATTGCTCTACGAGAAACTTCTGGTGCAGCGCATGAACATGGGGGTCCAGGAGGATCTGCATCGGAAGGGGAAGGTGACCCTTCCTGGGCTCTGGGCCATAAACTGCCCTGTACCCAACCACATCCCAGACTCTTAACAAGGTGACTTTGGGAATCAACGTGCAATAAGGTACAACTGCCGTTCTCATGTCACGAGAGAATACTTGAAGACAGATTTTAGACAATAGTCTTGAGTCTTTCAACTGTAATTTAAGGGTGGCCACAGAATTCTTCTCTTCCTAAGCCATTGAGTATTTATTACTGCTTTAAATATAGAAAAGGAATTTAAAAAATAACCTCGAGAAAGATGCAAAAAATGAGTAGCTATAAAGAAAACAAATGTATAACCTTGGGTATGACTCCTCCAAACCTATTAACCCTTTCTATGTCACATGTCCCCATTATCAGGGTTGTTTTCAACTCTAGGTGTCGGGGTATACCTGAAATCATGAGATGATTTATACCTCGAAACAGCCACGTCGAAGTTTGTTATCTATTGCCTTGAGTGTGCCCCTTACATATCCATTCATCGGCAAATACGTGGACTTGATGCCGAATGTCTGGTTTATCTCTTAGATATGTTTTTAACAGCAAAACTCCTCCACATACCCAACAGGGTGCACATGCTTCCAAACCATTGCATTGGCCATCTCTACTTCTCTTTCTTACTTTGAGTGCTTTGCTCTTTGCTTATCAGAACACATTTCTAAACCCATAAAACATCGATCTTGAGCGGTCCAAGAAAAAGCCAACCATTGGATAGCTCCAGCTTTCTTTAGTAAAGAAAGTTAGTGTCACACAGACTAAGATGTACAGACGGGTCCTGAGACTGCAGGGCTCTCCTGGCCATTTCCCTGGGCCTGGCTCTGCTGCCTTATGCCCCATCGCCTGCAAGTCCATGCTCTGTGGCCTTTCATATCAGTTAGACACACACTGATGATTATCCTAAGCGGTAAGGGAGCTCAGGGGCCACTGTGAGCTCTTTGCAGCATTAAAGCCAGGACTGCAGAGCCATCTCCCTGAGCTTTGTCGAAGGGTACCCACCTAACTCTTATTTTAAGATGTTTTGCAGCTTATTGTCTGCAATTGGGAATAGTGGTGTGCACTGAATTCTAACTAATTCTTCTTACAGACAAACATTTAGGTATCCAACTCGTGCTTTCACAGATAGGTTTTGGGCCAACAGCATGACACAGCCATATAATTAAATAAAATTGTATGAAATCATTGCTCTCTAACAACAAGGAAAATACTTAAACATTTCAGAGGGAAAGGCAGCTAGAGGGGGAGTTTTCATCCCAATATGTTAGATATACACAAAGTTTGTGGGCAGGGGGTTGTATGGTTTTTTTTTAACCTTCAACTTCTGCCGCTGCTACATTGAAAAAACACAATTTTTTTCTTGCTATGAGCCTAGTGAAACACTGACATTTTAGAAGACTCTAATTCAATGTGCTATTTTCACATATGACTAAAACACATCTCAGTGATATAGTTAGGACTTGGCATTTACAGTCAGTAACTATGTTCTTCCTTGAAAGTCTGTGGCTCTTAGGCAAGTTTAGTGAACTTTTTTTTAATTTCAGGGTTAGTGGTTTTTCCCCCAGAATGCTATCAAAATTATTTTTCTTTATCAAGCATGGTTTTCAGAAACTGGTAGCTTGTGTATGCCTCGTCTTCTCATTGGAAATTGAGTTGGGCAACAGACATCAACGTATGGCTTATTATAATAATGAAGGTGCTTTAGTGCGATTGAGTCAGTTCTGACTCACAGTGACCCTGGATAGGGTTTCCAAGGAATGGCTGGTGGGTTTGAACTGCCCACCTCGTGATTAGGAGTCCACTGCTTATCCTACAGCACCATACCAAGACTCCTTGTAGGAGTAATTAAAATGTGTTGATCACGACAGCATCCAATACAAATCTATTTTGAGATCTTTGCTTCTAAACTACAAAGACTAGATCATTTTGACCTATGACCTATACACTAACTTAAGTCTGAGTAGACTTTGCCAAGCCACTCTTCTTCCTAACTTCCTGACAGAGTTTTGTTTTGCACACATGTTTATGCATGCAGTAAGTTCATTAACTACCGAACGCTAATGAAGTAGCTCTGAGTTGGAATGAACAGCCCTCCTTGGAACCTCCGGGATCTTCCAGGCCTATGCATTTAAATGTCCCTGTCTGTGTACATTCCTTTTATAGTCTTCCTTGGGGATTTGCTTATGGGCATCGTTATTATCCTCGACAACCCCTTTCGGTGACTTGAGAACTTGACTAGAGGATAATTCAAATAGCTTCAAAGTTATGTAATAGCATTTTGTTGTAATACACATAATTTTTAAAAGTAATCTCAGTCTCACTGAAGTTCCAAGAAAGACTGAAGAGCATAAAGGAAAATTTAATTAAAATTTTGGATTTATTAGAGCCCTAAAGACTTTTGGGAATCAAGGTTTGTTAAACATTCAGAAAACATAGTACACTTATTATATTCTCTGGACTGGGTGTTCTTCTATTTAAAAGTTTAAATTGTTTCGTCTTTCAAAAATATTAAGCTAACATGAAGACAGCTTCTAGTATTCTGCCAATTGTTCCTAAATGGTACTATTTTGCCAGATATTGTTAAATCTCTCTATGGCATGTTTACTAATCTGCAGAACACACCTGGTCTTGCTGTGACATAGTTAACAATACAAAGCATCCCAGTGCATTTCTCACTGGTCTGTCTTCCCTGAGACCCCCCCCCCCCCACACACACACACACACTTACCTGTGCAGGGATGCTGATGAAATCCCTATGGTGCCACAAGGTATCCCTTTTGGTTCACTCTCAGGACTAGCAAATATCACATTGCTTTATATTTCAAGACAGTTTTTCACTTTTTGTTATCACAAAGAAGCAAACATTGACAAGAACAAGTCACCTGTGACTAGATTCCACCTATCTGTCCACCACACCAGGTACGAAGGTGACTTTTAGCAGGTATAACATTCTCACTCACTGTCACATTGAATACCAATGCTAGGCCTTCTGACCTACCAGTGTGACTGTTCCCACTAAACCCTTACCTTTGATCTGCTTTTATCAAGAATATTTGTACTGAACCTTGATGTGGTCATTTAAAAGTTGCATATAATAAGCATAAGAGAGATGCATTAAAGTGGGCCAAATCAGGGGTCTTTTGCATAGCTTTGATTTGCGGGGCTGGGCCTTTTGTTGTTTGAAGCCAGAGCTCCAAGTGCCTGTTGCCTGCTTCAGAAACAGCAGTCTCCTGGGAGGTGACCCATTCCAGCATGTCTTGTGCCCTCTGTCTCTCAGCCAGACACTTAATCAATCCTGGGCTCTCCACTAGTCATTTGTTATTATAGCCATATCAGATGAAGGAAAGCAATGCGAAAACAATTGTTAGCATTGCCAAATTTGGTGAAGAAAAGTAACCACTGACAACTCTCGGGTCACTGTATTATGTGCTTATGAGCGAGTCTATTTTGATGAAACAGACCAGACTTTATACTGTTGACTGACCCTGTCAGGCAAGAGCCATTTGCAACCACTGAATTAATTAGCCCTCATTTTGGTTCATTAAGTTGATTCAGTCACAGATGAGTCATGGAATGTGATGGGAGAATTTTTTAGGCACAAATAACATGATTAAAACTCCCTAACTTCTCTTACCAATCAACACACAGCACATGTTTTAGAAGGGTGGTCAACATTCCTGGCCCCATTTCTGCTTAGCTATGAAGTCCCTGGAGGTGCAAATGGTTAACACGCTCATCTGCTAACCAAAAGGTTGGCAGTTCAAGGCTCTCCAGAGGCCCCTTAGATGAACAGGCCTGACAACCTACCTTCAAAAACTCAGCCACTGACAAGCCCCTGCAGCATGTTGTTCTCCAGCACACTGAGGTCTCCATGAGTCAGAAGGGACTGAGTGGCAGCTGTGTGTTAGGGTATGGTTGGTGGTGTTGTTTTCATTTGATGGAAAGAGACTGTGAAGGTGGGGAGAGGGAACAGGTACCAAGAAACAGGTGATTGACTGTGTAGGTCAGATAATCTCTCATTGTATTGTTATATTGTCCCTTTCCAATTTATAACATTCTGATTGATTTGAACTCTTACCCAGTGGTTATACAACTAACCAAGGCAGCTACATTTAGAAATTAATTGCTTAGGTAAAATGTGCCTGAGTTCAAACTTGTTTTTTATACTCTGGATATTTCCATTGTGAAATTATTCTGCATGTTTCTGTCCCTTGGGCATTATTTATGCTATTGGTAAATGAAAGGTATTTTTCTGTCAATTTAAGGAAATACAATATAAGTTCTAATTTTTGTTTTATTAAATGAATCAAGCGGTTTGGTAAGAAAAAAATCTAGTGTATTCGCCTATAATCTTGGGCTAATAAAATTTAATATAAGCATTGTTATAGTTCTTTTAGTCTGAAGTGTGCATGTAGATATAGTTATATAATTGTGTATATACAATCTACACACATGGTTTTGTATTGTCTTTTTTCATCAATCTGTCTGAAACCTTTATAATAAATTTTATTTTAATTATGCAAACACCAGGGGCTTTTTTTTTTTTTTTCAATAAAGGAAGGAAGCACATATTACATGTCTTTCTGTTACAGAATAAAACCCTACTCCTCCACCTCCACCCCTTCTCACACACTCATATTTTCTACATCTTCAGAAAAGAAAGAGCCTGGAAGGAAAGATTGAAAAGACACTGTAAAGTGTAGAAACACTCCCTGAGTTTTGTGTCCTTGTCAGATGCCTGAATTTACTCTGAACTTTGAAGTTTCTGTATAGGTCTATGGTTTCTTAAGATGACAGGAAGACACACTGATTGGCTGTGGAGAAAATAGTCTTTTTACCAGTTTTCAAAGAACTGAACCTCCTGGGTAGTGTTAAAACCTCATGTTTATGATATCACATGTTGTGTTTTGCCCTAGATATAACAGTTGTTACATTCTCTTGTGATGGAAACCGATGAACTTTTTAAATAGCTTTGGGAATTTTTTTTTTGTATGATAATTTCTAAGATGAAATGTGTACTCTTTAAACTAATTAAAGCTTGGAGTTTTACAGGAGT